GGGGGGGGGGGGGCTACTGGTTTCCCCCTGATGAAAGATTAAAAACAATAGAATTAGGAACGAAACATTTTACTCTATATAATTTTAGTATGGCCACACGCACCATTTTTTTGTGACGTGCAAAAACTCTATATGCGGCCTACCATCTTTGGCTACGGTAGCTCCCTCTTCGTCATTCAGCTCTACCACCCACTTAATTTTCTATCCTGCCTACCCCCATCGGCTCCCTCCAGGGATGCCCGACGGATGTTCCCGACAAGGAGGAAGGGGAGATTTTAGAGTCTACTAATATGTAGAAAAATACATATAATTTTTTTTCTCCCCGACGAATTGTGGTTTTTCTCCGATTGGGTGGAGGCAAAGTTCTCCCCAACAGAGGACCTAGCTCCGCCCCCTCCCCATTGGCGCCACCCCTGGTTCCCTGTCAAAACTCATGGCTCTTTTGTCCCATGTTGTAGCCTATAAAATAAAAATAATAAAACTATGTTGTCTTATAAAATGGAGGTGTAACTCTACAACACCTGGGTTGATTAATGACCGTGGTTTGTCTATTTGCGGCATCAATCGCTACAATCCTCTTGGCCTGGAGAAATACGGTATCCAATACGCAATGTTGCAAGTTCGACTCACACATACGGTACGGATCTTAGAATGCAAACTTAAAGAAAACAGAATGAAACCAAAAGAATATTATACATATTAAATAATTTTCGTTTTTGTAGTTGTAGTAGTACAGTAGTTGTAGCAGGCACCCCCCCCCCCCGGCTCAGTGGTATTTTTTTTTGTTGTTGCCAATTTCAGGCTAAAAATGTTATCTCAGTATTATACACACTTTCTAAGATAGAAAATGATTATTGCACAACATTATATTACCGTACTGTGTTATTGTTATAGTCACACCTACTGCACAGCTAGGTACCGAAAATTAACTGGTTTTCTAGTTTATTAAATAATAACCTCATTTGACATTTTACCTCAGCTTCTGTTTTTATTTTGTTCTTATGGTCTTATATATATATATATATATATATGTATATATATATATCTATATATATATGTATATGTATACAGTGGCAGTATTAGTAGGCCCAGCAGTGCATTTACATTTCCCATTTCCTCCTTTTTTTCTTAATTCCTTTCCTTTCTTCCCTATTTCCTTTTCTTTCATTTTCCTTTCCATTATTTTTTTTTCAATTATCATATTTTCAAATTCCCTTACTTGGTTGACATTCACCTTGCATTACTGTTCAATACGTCCGAATACAAGAGCGTCGGAAGCGGTCCGGATGGTCCGGTTTTGGCCGGACCAATAATTTACAACTCAATACCGGTATCATTTTGTAAGCAAAATTCTACTTTCTCAGACGCAATCAAAATTTTAATTTTTATTTTTATTTTTAAAAATATGGAACAAATTTAAAATGATTATTTTTTAATTGTAGTTAAGTATCAATAGCTAGGCCTATTTATCATGATATGGTTCACCACGTACCGTAAATCATATTCCGACCCGAAATCTAGACTCAGAAATACCGGGATGGCGTCCGGCGGGAAATTATATTTTATTTTGTTTTATTTCAACAATATTTAAAGAGGTAGACATTCTGTTTCTAATACTAAGTTTATCATCTGGTAGTTTATATTACTGCACCAAATGCAAGAATTTACTAAATAATTAAAACTGATAAGAAATAATTCAGTGAATTTCGCCCAAAATGTTTGGTTTTTTTCGGAAATAGAACACTGGGTCCCTTGCGAAGCACAGAGAAGCTGACCATTGAGGCTGACACAGACTTGAAAATAGGGCTGCGCAAAAAATGTTCTATAAGGATTATAATGGATAATTCATGAGATTTTACCAAACTATTGTGCGTTAAAAAAAATTGCGCCCAGGGAGAGGTTTTTAAAACCACCAACTTGAGCCCACCATGGTTGGGGCTGAGGGAAAAATGTTATGATTATGGCACCTCTTATTGCCGGACGTAGCACTCTCAGACTTCTTTTCTAATATAAATAATATGAAAGACAGTGTATTGCGAAAATGATGAAAAAATAAATTCTTCAAAATTTCTTATCATTTTCATAATTACTCATAAAATGAGATGGTTATTCCTCAATGAAGAAATAAAGTGCAAGAAACACGAACACATTATATAAAGCAATATGAATAACAATGACCAAGTTCTAAGTATTATATTTATACAAGTTGACAGATGTTCAAACACCTATAAAAAGATTCTAGATACAAGAACACTTTATTGTCTATTTTAAAGTAGGAATTTGTTTTTCCTTTGGTTAAAAAGGATAAAATTACATGAAAAATCACAAGACAAAACAACTTGGCAATGACAAGAAATACGTTAAGGTATTAACAAGTTAAAATAGTAAAGTAGTAAAAAGTCAAAATAAAAATCACTGTTTAAAAATATAAAAAATTTACTATGTGTACCTCAGAAACAGGCCAGCCATTTTAGTACAGATTAAAACTATTAAAACCCAGCATTTTGCTAAAAAATGCATCCACATGTACCGTATCCGGTATTTCATATCAACAATATAACAAATATTTTTCTTAATACTAATTAGGGGATGCGATCGCACCCTCTGCACACCCCTATCCGCGCAGCCGACGATTTTTTTTAACGTAGGATAATTTGGTGAAATTTCATGAATTATTCATAATCATCCTTATAGAACATATTTTGCGCATGCGCTATTTCCAAGCCTATGTCAGCCTCACTGATCAGCTGCTCTGTGCACCTACTGTTCGATTTAAAAAAAAATAAATATGATTTGATTTTGGGCGAACTTAGCAGATACAATTGATATAAATGCAGCTGGGCGGATGTGGCTGGTTGGGTGGACGTGCAGAAAGGGTGATTGCATCCCCTCAAATGAAAAATATTTGTTTATTGTTGATATGAATTACCAGTCAGATTTTTAAAGGTATGAGAGTGCAATTTCCGGGCACCTAGAGGTATATTCTCAAAATGTGGTATATTATTTAGTATTATTATCTAGAAACCTTTGGTTTATTAATGGCAAGAGGACCATGTAGGCCTGTATAGGTATTCCCATCAGACAGATATACCAGGTGATAAGTACGCAATAGAGCAATAATAATCAGGGGAATCAACTTTGGGTGGAGGGTCAATATTAGAATAAGGTACTGTACGTTTTTCTACAGGGGTTCAACTCAGGCCCCACAACGGCTCCGGTCAGGGTGGTAGGACAAACGCCAGGGAAAATCATTAAGTAGTTTTCGCCGCACGACGTTAACCTTAACTTAAACGTTAGTACCCAACGTGCAACGCGATAGCTCCGTCCCTCTTCTTGTAAACTAATCGAAATACGCATGCGAAAACCCGTAATTGACGTACGTCGAGCACGTAAAATCCTGAAAATAACGTACTCCGCAACGCAAGATGAATAAATTATGACGTCTAATTTTGATTAGATACTTATTAACTGATATACTTATTAATCAATAATCGATCGATCGATCTCCACTTTTTTCATTAAAAAAATCCTTACTATGACATGGCCCAGACCGCCCAATATGGCATGCGTACAACCCGTAGCTGAGCTATGGCCCTGCTGGTTGAGACGAACACGTGTCAATTTTTTTAAAGAGTATTTTTGCAACATAGCGAGCAGGCCGTATTGTAAAACTTACATCATTTCTAAATTATCATTTCTACTGATAAAAAGCAATGTTTAACTACTATTACTTGTACGTACGTTAATATTTATGAAATCCCATGGTGACAAATATAAATGATAAAGCATGAATGGTTAATTGATATATTTAGTACAAGTATGAATGATTGACATAATAGAATAGTGCGTGTTTTGAGCTACAGAGACAAAACTAATAAAAAGAAGTCATATTAATGCGATGATGATTGTGTATATTTGGTCGGACCAATAAAAATAGCTTCCGACGCGATTGGAATAATAAAAAAAATAATTAAGTACCACAGCAAGGGGGTAATGGGCGGTGTTCATGTCCATGGCAGCAGATTAGGTCATAGGGCCAAACTATGCACTAAAATGTTGGTGCATGACGACACTTGATATTCCCTAGCTGCAATATTCAATGTTTGATAACAGTTTGTCAACTCTTAGGAATTTAGAATTTAGGAACAATCTTAAGAAAAAATACCAAAACCAGGGAACAGTGAAATTACGTTTTTAGTTCCGCATTTTTAATTTTCGCACCCCAGTTCCACATTCTCAATTTTCGCTTTCACCAGGATAATAATAATAATAATAATTCTGGATTTATATAGCGCCTCAAACTTTTTTCCATCGTGGTTCTCAAACAAAACATTAGGCAAAACAAAAATTAATTTTCTTCAACATGATAAAATTAAAATAATATTAATCATTTAAAATACGATTTAACAGATCACTCTTAACAATACGTTTAACATTTGAAAATAGGCCTACTAGAAGTTTCTTCTGTGACAGCTGAATTTTGTCCCCTACCCGTTATTATAAAAGTACTCCTGCCGATTCAAGTTCTGTATAGCAATAATTACGGACGCCTCACACTCGTGTACTGTGTATACTTCTGATAGTAGGAATAAAATACGGTAGTCCTCCAAATAAGCTGGATTCACGCTAAATTAAAGGGACAGTCGAAAAAAAAATTATTTATTTATTTACGTTCATAGTTGTTTGGTCATTTTCGTATGAATAGGTTACCCTTTGACCTCCGCTACCATTTCCCGCCATAATTCCATGCTTTTAATTCAATATAACATTCAACATAATATGATAATTTTTTATAGTGCATCGTTATTGTAGTGTAACAAAGCAGATGGCAGGCAGCAACAGTGGCGTAACGGCGAGTCATGGGGCCGGCGCGAGAAGTGGGCCCCGTGTGCCCGCAAAACATTGGTCGAATCTCTTTGATGCTCAGCCAATCGTTTCATTTATATACGGTATACTGTATTTATAATGCGCCACTTAAACAGTAAAACATAGACCAACACTGGGTGCAGGCTATTGGCTCTTTTGACTGGGTGTCCTAAGCCTTTCCTCGGAGAGCTCAGGGCGTTACGCCACCGTGTAGCAACGTTAAATATTTTAACGTTTACTCCCTCGCGATCAAACTCGTAAAGTTAAAGCTTGAGATTTTAAAATGATTAGGGGAAGCCTACCCAGGGCCCTAAATGTTTGGACATGAAAATAATTTAAAAAAATGTAAATTGTATTGTAAGTTCGGAAGTGGTATTCCGACCATCTGATGCTATACACACAAACTCACCATCACAAAAATCCATAGAAAAAAAAAATGACAGAGCTTAAATCATTTATGTCTGTTCGGAAATTAAATGTCAAATCCAACTACTTCAGAAATACTTTTTATCAATTATAAAACAACAAAGAAGTTCAAAAGCAGGCCTATATTTCTTAGTCCTGTGTTCCAACACTTCTAATTGTAATGTCAAATGATGACTTGACTATAACCGGTCTGACAAAAGTACGAATGCATTTAATGATATTATTTAAGAACCTCAGGCAAACAACTCTTCACCGAATTCAATATGTTACCCTGTCGATGCAATACAAAATCCGGGAAAATTTTAGTTCTATCTCCGTTCTGCTAAGCCCCGCCCCATGGTTATTGCTAAGGTCCCACAAAACGGGTGTAAACGTACGTAAACACGTGTAGGCCCCTATTTGTGGGATAACACGTAGTACGCGTTTGTTTAACAACCGCGTATTTCTGGCCCTGTTTTCATTGGTCAGTATTGAAATAACCTTGAATTTTATCAACAAACATGATATAGGCCTACACCAGCTTTTTATAAACAATTTGTCTCCGGAAAGGATACAGCACATATGACCTTTCATGACCTTACTAAAATTGTTGATGCCTTAGAAAATAATTATATAAAAATCTCAGTATTTATTGACCGTTCCAATTTTTCAACTATTTTTCTATCTCTTGCTTGGTCCTCGCCTGTCACTGCTGATTGTGTTCTTCCGCCCGAGTCTAGTTATTTTTGGACCCACAATTTAGCAGACTGACAAATTAAACTGATGTACACTTTCTGTTTTATAAGAACACTAAGGCTGAAATCGCTTAAAAATTAAGAACAATATAGAAACAAAAATCGAGGCTGAGGTAAATAATGTCAAATGAGGTTTTCAAGATTTTTTTAAAAAGAAAACCAACAAATCTATATGTATCTTGTAGTAGGGGTTTAATAACCTCTATAATACAGTAAAATAATATACTAACTGTAAACTATGCAAAAAGAACAATAAGAACATTTTCAGCCTGAAATCGGCACTGAGCCTGGGCAAACATTTTGCTGGTAGAATGTCACATTTTGTCTGTAAAAACAGAAAATCTATCTGTACCTTTTGTGCAGTTAAGTGTGACTATATAATACCCTCTATATTGTACAGTACATAATATTGCTGAACAATAATTGTCTATGTTTGACAAAATGTGAAAATAAGAACAAAAAATAAGAACGTTTTTGAGACTGAAATAGGCAAGAAATAATAAGAAAACTGAGTCTGGGCGAAATTTTACTGGTTCTTATAAAAAAAAAGTGTAGAAGAACAAATAACCTTGGCGACAATGTTTGTGACAACGAAAAACCTTGGCCACAATGGATAACCTTGGCGACAATTATGGATAACCTTCGCTACAGGGGGAATTACAAGGAGAGAGAGATAGAGAGGACCCCTGTGGAACAACAGCACATTGCAACTAATGACTATTTTGGCTAGCTGTGGGAATGTGCATTTAACAAAACCAAGATGGTTCTAAGGTAGGGCCCCGGAAAAAATGGATCGAAATAACAACTAGGTAAAAATGGTAAAAAAAAAAAGTAAAAACTTTTTTTAGATGTTGCTAAATAACAAAAATTCAATCAATAATTCAACATAAATCATGCATTTTCTAAAACTAAAATAATTTAGTTTTTAAAAAGAATACAGTATGTCAAATAAGTTGCCAACTTTTTGCAGGAATTTATAAAAATTGTAGTATATAAAATTTTAAAATTATATTAAAACATACTTTTACATTAAATATTCAGGAATTCAAATTATTTGTTTAGTTTTTATTAAATAAATTATTTAATCAATCAACATATCATTTGTTTATTATAAATAAAATAATTTAATCAATAAATAACTTGCTTTTATTAAATTTAAATGATTCTCCATGTACCTATTCCTTAAAATAGATTAATATTCCCAAATAAACAAGGTATAAATCATTCTCAAAAACACCTGAACTACTACACATTTTTTTATATGCAAAAGATTTTTATATTGGTTACAGTTAGATTCTCGACCAATTAAATTATAGTTTAGTTTTCACTGACACAATTTTGACCTTAGATTCTTTTTTAAAAACCTAATTACTTTAGTTTTCTCTCTTAGTAATTCAATTAACTCTCTTTATTTACATAAATTATTAAGTTTTAATAAAAAATTAGAATGGAAAAACATTTCCTCACATTTAATGGGCACTAAATAATACTTTTTCAATATTATTTTCTGCATAATCATTTAAATTGGCTGGTAATGAAATACAGAATACAACATTTATTAATTGGTCTTGAAAAACACAAGTGCACAATAACTTAAGTTGTTGTTAGAAATCCATATATAATTCACTATCAATATACAGTATATATATGGACATAGGGATTTTCCTTAATCACATAAGGAGAAATGACTTTTAAATTATAAATTAAAAAAGAAATCCTTAAAAATATGAAGTAAAAAAAAATACTTACTCGATCCAAGGACTTTTAACAGTTAAGATTACAAAAACTGCTTTGCTAAATTTTATATGTTGAGGGCGAAGACTGTTTGTGCAGTTTACAGTAATTTTGCATTGAACCTATTGTAACCAGTCTGAGAAGCTTTAAAAAAAAAGTTGCCTTTACATAAAAGTTTAATTACCAGTTTATTTATATTAAAAATTTGAATTATTAGACACATTTTTTTTTATATCTCTGCTTTAACCTAGTTTGACAACAATCCAAGCACGGAAAGTGACAAAGTATAGAGTACCACAGTCGTGTCGTCACGATGCTAGGTGGCACTCTCTGTTGTCAACAGACGTTGGTTACCGTTTATTACGCCTGAATGACTTCATAGGCTTTCTGGAATAGGCATTTTGAAATTTTATTTTTTATTATCAAAATGTACTAAAAACACAAAAGCTCGCATTATATTAGTTATCGAACACACATTTAATCATCAATTAAAATTTACAAAGAAAAAGATACATCTTAATAATTACGTTAGAAATTGGGATCAACGGTTTGTCAGTGGAGAAAATGGCGCCCGGTTGAACGCCTTTTGCAACGATAGCAATGGACTAGTACCACACGGTATCGTGACATAACACTGTAGTACTCTATGGGGTTACACCATCACTGCCAACCGGAGATTTGTGTTTTTGTATTCAGGTTAGCATCGCCATCAGTTTAGTCTTGATATTTTATGGGATCAGGTGCTCCTAACCTGGAACAAAAACACTACCTAGCCAGGTGAAACAAAGACATCAATATAAATTTTATTTCCATATTTTACCACGCATATAAAGAAAATAAAATTCGAGTAATAGCTGGTAAAATTAAAACAAAATACAAATAGTTATTTAAAACCAACTGTCCATGTCAGAAGGTATGCAATGCTGTTCTTGGTTTACATTTTGACAACCAATGGCCATAACATACCACAGACCCTATGCAAACAACAGTCTAGCAGGAATAAATTACATGTGAGAATTTAAAATGTCTTCCTCTTCACAATCCACAACTTCCTGTGATGTACTTAATCCCCAGATCTCAATGATCACGTATGTCCATTCTAGGTATTACACTTTCGTTTAACTTGCTGCATACGTCAATTTTCACACAACGTCCCAGTTTATATGGTTGTTATTAGGATGGATATCATACTATGATGAGTAGAGTTTTTATTATAACGGAATGAAAAACTGGAATTCTCTCCCAGATTCCCTAAAGGCCACAACCTCTACTAAGCTCTTTCAACACAAAGTTAAAGAATATTTTATAAATGCGGTGTAAAATGAGTTTTTCATAATCTTTCAAATTATATTTAAATTTTGAATTAGATGTCTCAACTGTCTCACTTTAATGGTCAAAAGGATTTAGATGGAAATAAGTTTCATTATTATGTAAAACTCTTGTTTTCCTTGCTTGGTATCATTTGTTCACATAGTATATTTAATTGTTGTATTTTATGAGACTATTCTTATCATTTGTTCACATTTTTATTGTATTTTATGTATATGAACCAAATAAATTCAATCAATCAATCAATCATTACCGTACAAAATCACATGAAACGTAAGTCTGACTAGAATATAAATGAATGATATTCTTCCAGTCAGCCATGGGAGGCTTTATGTATTATTGATTATAAAACTGATGATAATGAAATTGCACTATGGAAATTTAAAAACATTAAAAGGCAATCAAGAATTTGGTATACTGGAATAAATTTCAGAAAGTTGGCAAAACTGACCTGTAAAAAATGAGCTAAAAAGCAGGACTCTGAGAGATCTTTATTTTTGAACCTTTCTGGGAGCCAACAACAGCTCATTTCCAAGACCATTCAAAGGGATTTGAGTAGCACATTTCCTTACCAAGGTAATACTTTACTGTATACAGTTGTACATCTTTGGTAACAGTTAAAATATTTGATGCCTTTTTTTTATGTTAGACTGTGAATTATAATAATTTACTTTTTAAGGAAAACTGCAATTTTATAACATCATAATCCACTTCTCCAAGAGGGAACAGCTCTGGAAAGATAAAGAAAAAAAGACCAAGTTAATCAAGTTAATTTCAGTAAAGTTTGGTTTCCATACAATCGCTACACAGTTGCTACACCATTTTCACTACAATTCTAGCTGTCCCCGATGCAATCAAAAAAGCTCCCTGATTCAACCGACCAATCAGCGTCGCTAAAGGAGTCAGTGATAGCATGTAGCAATTTTATGGAAACCAGGCTTTAACAACAATGTAAGTTCTAGTATTAAAAATACATGGGGAAAAACAGATGGGGGAGGGTGGCCATGGTAGATACTCTTAGGACCTTATCTATTTATTAATAATTATTATTAATTACTACCAAATTGATAAGTTTAATTACAGGATGGAATTTTGTGATTCTTAATGAACTACAGAACCTGGGTTCCCAAGTTGAAAAAAGTCACTTCCACAAAACATGAATTAGGTCAAGTTCAAGTTTTTCTATATTGCCATGTAAAATGTTTACATGAAATTCTTTTTCCAAGGTTCAAACATATGTGGCAAAGACAAGCCAAAACAGTCACTCGTCGTAAATCCTGTTTAAGAGATAGTAGCCAAAAATGCTGGCATGTCAAGATTTTTGAAATCTACTTTATTGCACTAAACTGACATTTATATATCTATATATCATACTATGATGTTATTTTCCCCATTTTCAATGTTTAAACAAAAATTTTTAATGATTTGGTGATGGTTTCTGCCTGAGAAATGCCCGAAATCATAAACTTTGAAGGCTGATTTCTCAAATATTGTTCATCGAACAGCTGTATGTTCAAACTTCTGTAACTTCATAAAAAAATGACCGATTTAAATGATAATTTTATTATTTTCTAGCTCTCATTTTACTGTTTAATTGAATTGTACCATACAGCACAACAGAATGACATCATAATAATAATAATAATATTAATAAACTTTCTTAACACATCTATTTTCTACTTGTGCTGATACCATTGGCCAGTAGACATTAGGAAGACAATTGATAATACAATATTAGTAAAAACATGTAAACATTATGATATTTGTGGAAATTGGCCGCAGAAGCGGATAAAGACCTTTGACTGTTCACCATTATTTTATAATAATTCTTTTAGGATGTTGCTTAATGCCTAGGTATTGTAGTACAAGTCATGTTTCTCATAAATGATCTATTTTTTTTCAGGTATTTCAAAGGAAGTCAATCCACAGTTTCATGCTGAGGAAATCTGCTCTTTATTTTAAGTCCCAATAAAAAAAAATGATTAGTTTATCACCCCCACCCGCAAGTCTTCTATGGTATTGAAAAAAAAAATGTTGTTTTTGGAGATAAAAAAAACAACAATTAAAAGCTTTTTTTCCCCCATATGTTTAGTAAATGGTTTGTAGATATTGTTTGTATTATCTCAACAATGTACTTGACTTTTAATATCAATGCACTAGCAAACAACCCAAGGGTGATTTTTGGCTTTACTAGCCTCCTTCCCTCGTCGCTTTTCTAGCCTAGATAGAGTGATAAACTAATAATTTATTTTTATTGAGTCTCTTTTTTTTCCTATATAATATATTTTGTTTTTGTTGATCACTATAAAGAGTCATAATTTTACTTACATATTCTATTTTATTTTCATATTTTAATGTTCTATGTATTGTTTTATGAACATTGTTTTCAAAAATAAAGAAATTAAAAAATAAATCAAAATTCAGAAAAAATTATATAACAGAAAAGTGCCAAATTTTCAGAAAACAAATTAAAAAAAAAATTCAAGAATTATACTCATCATTATTCAATCCCTTATCCTAGGTGGGTTTGCTGAGGAACTACTGATAAATATTTAAGAATTAACAAACTTTTAAAGATAATATTGCAATTGTTCAAGAGTAATGCTTATGTTCTTACATTCTACCAGTGTTTTTGCTATGCAACAAATCTAATTACCTCCGCCAACAAAGTTGGCAGGAGGTTAAGTTTTTGCCTGTTTATTAATTTAGTTATTTATTTGTCTGCGGCATATTTGTTGTGAACAACCTACAGCCCATAGTTTTCACCAGAAATTCATCAAACTTGGTAGACTTGGAAAAAAATTAAAAAAAAGAGGCCTAAAAATCAAGTTAGGGGGAGTGGAATGTTAGAAGCAGTCAACATAGCCAGATATCCTAATTAATCCATCCTGGTCACCCTAAGCCCTGTTGGCACTTAATTTTTCACCTTGTATACAAATGGTGGCCATTTTTCAAAATGCATAACTACCCACCTAGTGTATACAATGGCTCGTGTGCACTATAAAGAACCCAGTACGCCCTTCGAGACGAGTAGTGGGATATACCCCGGTGCACTGGAAGAGACTGCCCCTGTGGTGGACGACGAGAGTTGCTGGTACCGGGTTACCAGGTAGCACAGACACAAAGGGACCCTTAAGGGCGAAGAAAGTCATTGGTCGAGTTCCAAGTCCACATTTCAAGCGCCCTGAGCATCTTACATTAGATGGATTTGTGTGCTATATAAAACTACACTATTATTATTATTATTACCTTAAAATCTGCCTCCGACTTTAAACATGTCAATAAATAAGGAATAAAATACATGGTTATCCATCATAGTAGGCCTATTATTAAATATCATACACAGCATGTTGAAATCGATTAAAATAATGTATACAGTACATTATAGGCCTACTAATAATTTGGATATTTGGATGATAAACGTCTGCAACATCATCAATTGGACCTTAAAGGACGATGGTCATTTTATTCAGATTGCCCTTATCATGTTTCAGAGCAACATAATTTTTGGTATCTAAGTGACACTTTATTAAAAACAATCAATGAATTTTTTTACTCAAACGTCTTTATATTGATATTTTCAAGCCTATTAGATGACCTGAACAAAAAGTGATACAGAAATCGTAGGCTTACTGAACAATAAATTATGGCGGAAGTAAATTTTTTCCTGTCTCTAAGCATTTCCCCAGAAAGCACACAGGTGTACATATCTGGTCAAACCTCCATAAAATGATGGGTCGTAGTTGGACTGACCCCTTCTAATAAATCAGCCAAAGAGTGTGTTTGTGGGATTTTGTTCTATTTGTTTTTTTGTTGTTGATAATTATAGAAAAATTTACCGTTAGTTAGAATTAAGAGAACCCACCCCCTCCACCCCGAGCTCACGAACATTAGGCAACTGGGTCTTGTTTATTTTTTTTTATACAGTATGCCATAATAAGTGAGCTTTAAAATATGGGAGCTCAAAAAATTGCCAAAAAATCCAAATGTGTTTTTCACTACAAATCAACAGTTTAATGTCTTTTTAATCATGTCCCAAAGTATTAGTTCTGAAAGTGGTCAACAAATCATTTCTTTTATGTTATTTTGATGGTTAATTCTATTAAACAATGTATGCACAAATAAATTTGAAAGGCAATTACTCAAAATCATGTTTATCTTTACTCTTAAAGTGCTGTACTTTCATTTTCAAATAACTTAGGCTTGAAATATCCAATTTCAATAAATGACCCCGCATTTTAAAGATCACATACTCAGGTATCTGAAAACACCAATAAATTATACCAAACACGACAACTTTCGGTTATAAGATTGATTTTTTTACCTTTTGTGTCATGAGACTTTATATATTGGTTTATATCGCTGTAAATATGTAGGCCTATTATGTTGTTTAGGTGTAGTGACAATAAATGATCAGTGTATAATTTCCTTTCCATTGACACCAATCTTGACCATGTTTTATGTGGTGCGTCAGCCATCTTGAAATTCAAAATGGCGGCCGATGACATTGGGACAAAAATGGCACCTAACTTGTTTGAATTCAGCGCAGTAAAAATGATAAAATTAGTCAATAAAATCTATTTTTGCACAAAAATCTATATGGATTACATAGAAAACTGTACTAGTAGCTTATACTAGTTCCTATTTTATGTACATTTTAAGTATATTTTGCGATTATTTTAAAACAAATAAACACCTATTTTTTAATTATGTTCCATTCTGGCTTGAGTGACAGTAGTTTTTATATGTCTAGTTTGTTGCCTGTCTAGAAATTATGAGTTTAGACACCAAAATCATATCTGTAGCTTATTTAGTTCCAATTTTATGCACATTTTAGATAAATTTGGCAGCCATTTTGAAAAATGGCCACCATTTGTATACAAGGCGTAAAATCAAGTGTCAACAGGGCTTAGGGTGACCAGAAGGGATTAATTAGGATAGCTGGCTACTATGTGGATTGCTTCTAACATTCTACTGGGCCCTCTAACTCATTTTTTTCTGATTTTTTTTCTAGTCTATGGCCACAATGTTCCTTTAGAGCTGATTAAATTTTGAAGGTTCAAAGGTCAAGGTCACAATCAACAAAAACTATTTTTTTATTTATTTGTCTACAGCCCATAGTTTTATTCACAAACTTGTCAAACTTGGTCACAATACCAAAGACCTTGTTACCTTCACCAACTAAGTTGTCAGGAAGTTATGTTTTTGCCCATGTTTATTTATTTGTCTTTCAGCATATTTGTTGTGAACAGCCTACAGCCCATTGTTTTTATCAGAAATTCGTCAACCTTGGCCACAATGGCCAAGGTTCAGGGTCAAAGGTCAAAATAGACAAAAAATTATTTTTTTTATTTATTTGTCTACAGCCCATAGTTTTAAATAAAAATTTGTCAAACTTGGTCACAATGTTACATGACAAAAGATGTGTTTTGTGATGTACAGCATATTGATCTGTTGATACTTAAGTGAATGAGGTTTTTGAATTAAGTTGAAATTATTATTATCTTTAGAGGATAATTTGATCAAACAAATCCAACAGTCTAGTAAGTTGAAACCTGAAACTGACAGCTACGAAGACCACATGTCGATTATAATAGGTTAATATAAATGTACTAAACATCAAATATTACAGGTGACAATGCATGTTGTCATCTTTGACATGATGTTTTGATCAATATTCCCAACGAATGCAAAAAATCAGTTTATTAATATGTCGTTGGCTTTTCATAAA